TCACTTAATTCCTGTACATGAGGTACATTGTTTGGATTAAACTTTTCTTCGCTTAATTCCTGTACATAAGGTACGTTGTTTGGATTAAACTTTTCCTCACTTAATTCCTGTACATGAGGTACATTGTTTGGATTAAACTTTTCCTCACTTACTTCCTGTAGATAAGATTGGTCGTCGGCAGACGGCACGAAGACCTTTATACCAGTCCAGATTGTGACCTCCCACTCCTCGCGGGTCGTCATCAAGTTCTCCAGAGCGAACGCGACTCGTTGCTCCTCGTTAGAAGTTTGCGCATTTCTATGGGTTAGACGGTAGCAGTAATATCCAGCTTCGTGCAATCGTCGTCTTGCTGTACTGTCTGACATTGATACGCCCGAAGACCGGATAGCTTCTGCTATGGTACTAAAAGGTCGTTGCCGTATAGAATCGACAATTTCCTGGTCTTGTTGCTTTGTAGTCTGTCGTGGACGGTGATTATGTTTGCGATGATCATGCAACGCATGATCGCCGCCTTCAGAAAATCGCTTTATCCATCTACGGACTGTCTTTTCAGAGCAGGGAATATTAACAGCAATTTGTGCTTCCGATTTTCCTGCCTTCCACTGTTCAATTATACGGCCTCTTTCCTCCGGGCACAAATTTTTATATGATATGGCTTGCTGTGTCGTCCGTTGTGGTCGGCGATTGTGCAACGCACGATCACCGCCTTCAATAAATCGCGTTATCCATTTGTGGACTGTTCTCTGCGAGCAGGGAATATTCGCTGCAATTTCTTCTTCCGATTTCCCTTCCTTCCATTGCTGAATTATATGACCTCTTATTATCGGGCACAAAGCAAATGACATGACTTAATGAGCACCTAAATTAAGTCACAAAAGATAACGCATCAGGCCCCGTGAGTTATATAGGTTATATACAGAGGGAAACCTGAGAGTGGCCCACGGCCCACGCTAGAATTTTACCTGATACCATTTCAACACACTGTTTTGTGCGCCCCTACGCCCATCTGTTGGAACTATTTCATTACGCATTTTCTGACTCTGTCGATAAAATTGCCATTTACATGTCCGTGTTATACATATGCATTGACATCTAATTTATAAAATTTACATCGACTACATGAAAAAAGTTGATGTAAACATCATGCAAGATAAGTTATGAATCTAACTAGTTGCGGACCATTTAACTACACAACTGAAGATCATGTATACACCTGTAATTCTGAGATACATATTGTTTGCTGTAATTCTCCTTTGTAAAATGTATATAAATGAAAATCTTACGAAGGATGACACGTAACTTTGTGTAAAAATCGAAGGTTAATGGAAGAATGTAAAACGATGGGTCGGCTCGAAACCAGCAGTAATAGGATATTAACAGGATTGGGAAGGTTACTTTATAAAAGTAACTAATAGTTACAGTTACAGTATTTTCTCGCTAACAATGTAACTAGTTATAGTTACAAGTTACTAATTCTAAAAAGTAACGCGTTACAGTTAGGTATAGTTGCTCAAAAAGTAACGAATCGTTACTTGGCAGTTACTTTCTTACAATGAAAATAAAAATATGAAATCTGCGTTTAACTTATAAAGTGTCGATAAAAGCGTTTATGTGCAAATGCAAGACCTAATGCGATCTCTGGAGGTTTAAAAATATATAAAGTAACTATTAATGTAACTATTAACTTAGTTACCAGTTATCGACAAATTGTAACTGAGTTAAGTTACAGGTACAGACGGAGAGAAGGTAACGAAGTTAAGTTAGAGTTACTAAAAAAAAGTAACTCTAACTGTAACTTCGTTACAAGTAACGAGTTACTTCACAACCCTGGATATTAATTATAATAATACGCAACTGAGTCGACCATAATTCACCCGAGATTTAATTTATTGTACAGGATATGTAATTTCAATCGCGTAATGCGAGGCAACGTTAAAGAGGCGACAGGTAAAACTAGCAAACAGCTTGGAAAAATAATATTCGTTATTACACGCGAGGATCGCTGTAAAAGAGAACTATGCTTAAACAGACCGCGGGCCTAATTGGCATCGGCATTCTCTTTCTTTGGTAGCATACTTTCCAACTCGCCTAACTCGGCCATCTCTTTCACTATGTCCAATCCGCCGATCAGCTCCCCATTGATATACAACTGCGGATACGTCGGCCAATCGCTAAACTTTTTAAGTCCCTCCCTAACTTCATTGTCCTGCAGTATATCGAACGACTTGTAGTCCGCCTTGTAACCGTCCAGTAAGGAAGTGATCGTCCTGGAAAAGCCACACCGCGGATTCGCCGGATTCCCCTTCATAAACAGCATGCACGGCGCCTGGTTCACCAGCTTCCTCAGCCTGTCCTCGAGAGATTCCTTCGCCTTGGCCGCATCGAGCGGCGGAGCGTCCTTGTTGCCCAGGTGGTGCTTGATCTTCTCCGTCAGCGCGGAGACGTTGGCACCGTCCACCCTGCCTATCACGCCGCCGCATCGCAGCAGAAGAATCGTGGGCACGACAGCCACTCCGGACTTCAGAGACACCTCGGGCACGTTCTCCGCCTCGATCCTAGCGAACTTGACCTCCTTGTACTGCTCCAATTTGCCCATCTCCGCGAGTACGTCGTCTATTTGGGAACATTGCTCCGCCCATGGTGCGTGAAAGTGCACGATGGATAGATCCTTGGACCTTGCACAGCAAAGCACGCTTGTAAAACATACGGAAAACAAACTGGCGAAGGACCAGTGAGCGTTTGTCATTAACATCCGCCACGCGAGGAGAGAAAAATACACTGGTCTTCAAATAGAAGAACCGACAGAGAATAAAGAAACGTTGAATGGTCAAATAATTCGTTAAGTAAACAAGTGTTTACACTCACGTCATTCACACTTTTACCCGTGAAAGGTAAAGCATTTATTTGACAAGAATGCACAGATAACAGCCTGCCGGTTTTGATATAATTTGGAGAATGACATTTGCAAGACTAGGATTATAATTTTATTTCGTTCCTAGGTCAAATTTCATAATTTTCTATCTAGTAAAACAACAATAATTTTACAACTATTGTTAATAAACCGATAATTCCCGAAATAAAGCGGAGGTCCTAGAGATTTTCGCAGCGGTGGAACGTAAGAAAAGGGGGGGGGGAGGAGAACCGCGTTCTCGCGGGAAGGATACTCTCAGGCGCGAGAGGAGGTTAGGTTAGATTAGGTTATGAGGTTCCCGTCGACCTGATGCGCCGACTACTCACTTGACGAAGTCGTCGAACGCCTGCTCCGTGGCCAGCTCGGTGACAGCCATGATGTCACCCGCTCCCGGTCGGCCGGTTCTCCTCGCGTCCCGCTCGGCTGGAAAAATGACTCGCGACAACGTCAAGCGCCGTTCGGGGGGTCAGCGCTGGTCAGCGCGTCTACGCGACCATCGGCGCCGCTCTCATGGCCGCGGCGCGGTGTGTCGTCCGTCGACGCAATCGCACCGCGCGCCGCGGGACTTCCGGGAGAAACGATCGTCGCGAAACGAACGAACGGGACATCGAGAGAGGCTGTCTGTCGCGCTTTAGCGAACACTTAATTTATGACAGGTGTCTGACCACTTTGACACTTTTACAATGAAAGCCGGATAAATGTTGTCTTCGAAGATCTTTATAAAGTTTACGCGGCTTTGTAGAGATATCTTTGAGATAAAACAGAACTTGGACAGTTTACTCTTAATTCAAAATACATTTTTCATTATTAATTAAGAGAGAGGCTTGTCGTCTTAATCTTAAATTAAGATAAAAGTCTTTCAGCGAGAGAGAGAGAGAGAGAGAGAGAGAGCTGAAGAATAAATCAAACCCCCCCCCCCGTGAGAAATAATTCGTCGACATCGATCGACGAGTCATTTCTCGCCGGGCCCTTTCCGCATTATTCACGAACGTGGAAAATCTTTTGTATTGTTACGTCGAAATTTTTTCACAGGTTGAACAAAGCTTTAAGCCCGTGTCAGACTGCGGATTGCGACTGAGATTAGATTGAAATTTTTGACCAATTGGAGTAAAAGTTACTAAACTTGAGATTAGTAAACTTTACTTTGATTGGTCAAATTTCAGTCTAATCCTAATGTCAATCCGTAGTCTGATACGGGCTTTAGGGGTCGGATTCGATCGGGGCCCACCAAGATAGAGAATTTCTAATTTATGATACAGTTCACACATGTAAGACTTAATAATATACGATACTCAATATTAATAACGTTATTGAGAGAGACTTATTGCTCGTTATAATGTAAGATTCTAAAGAGGTTTACTTTACGAGACCTTAATTAAATTTCGTGAGTTCCGGTCTGATTGGCTCGTCTTGAAATTTTTCAGGCAAAAAGCTGAGGTTTTCCTCATTTGCAGCTCCGTTTTAACGAGGACTGCGGTTAAAACTTTTACTAGAGGCAACGATCGCCGGAGAGGAGATTCCGTTTCGCAACCGCCGTCCGAAGGCGGATTACAAATCGGAAATTATGTGACTCATTTGTCACGCCTTTCTCTTCTAAAGAGAGATTTGCATTTTCAACAGTCCATCGAGCGAAGTTTTATTCGTTCTACATCGTTTTTCTTTCTGCGTAGAATATATTTTATTTTGGGAAGAAATCGGGAATTGTTTAGGACAGTCGTCGGAAATCCAATCACGTGTCGCGACGGGGTCGTATATCGAAGAATAAGACTCCGACGGTCACGTTTCGCGCGAGGCACCGGTCGTAATTCATGCAAATATGCGAGAGAGAGAGACCCTTTAAAATAATAGACCACGATCAGATTACATTAGATCACATGCAATTTCTATGTAAATTAATAAGACTCTTATTTCTTTACGTTGAAATTGCGCGTAATCCAATTAATCTGATCATATTCTATCCCATAATTTAAATGAGAGAGCGAGAGAGAGCGCGAGAGAGAGAGAGAGAGGAGGGGGAGGGTGGGGCCTGGGCTCTCACCTCGCGCGGGACGGACCTGCCGACGCAGGTGCGCCGCGAGAGACTGACCAATCGCGCGAATGACCACCGGGGCGAGGGTGGTGGCCGCGAATCGGGAAGGGGGAGGGGCGGCCAGGAGCGACGCTGAACGGGCGGGGAGGGGGAAGACCTGTCAGACGGTCGCGCGACCGCAAAAAGCTGATGCAGACGCCGCCGGACTGCGAACGTGCGCGCGTTGCGGTCAGCCGGTATTTTTTTTTGTTTTCTTCCTCGCCCGCGGGCGCACGCGCGCGCGCACGTGGCGTTGGTGGTGCGCGATGTCCAAGAAGCCGTCGCGGAGCGATGCCCTCGACGACATCTCCGCCTGGAGCACGGACGGCGTGCTGTGCCTGCTGCGCAAGGTGAGCGGGGCTGAGGTCGCGGTTCGCGCCTCACTTCACTTCGTGAGCGGCGCGAAGCGAAGTGAGGCGCGGGGCGCGACCGTGGGTGCAACTTCGCGGCGGACACCGACTGTCAAAGGCGCGACGCGACCGCGGCAACGTCAGGGGGCGCGGGGGAGGTGGGCGAGGCGCACGTGCGCGTCAAAGGCGGTAAATACGCGAGTATTTATAGCGCGACTCGCGCAGGGAGGAGGACAGGACGGCGCGCCGCGGAAGAGGCGCGGGTGGCCACGCTAGGATTCCCCGAGCGATTTTCCGGCGATCGAGTTGAGGTTACCGACCCTCGCCGGCTTCCTCTCTCGCTCGCGGTTCCTCCGCGGTTCCCTTCACTCGCGACTCTTTACCTGTCGCCGGAAACGTGTTTTCTTACGCGGGTCGGACGAATCGAATCCCTCACGCGGGGGGGGGGGGGGGGAGGGGGGGTCTGTCGGACCAACGAGTATCCGAGGTTATTGTACTTGATGTGTAGAAGAGGGTCCTGTAATTTTGTCGTAAAAATAGATATTTATCTAATACGGTCACTAAACTTTATCGTAAAATTGATACGGTAACAAATATCGTCTAGCAAGCGTGACGCAACCATCAATCGTCGTTTATCTCATCCGAACTTTTAGACCCGGTTTCACCAACGTTGTTTAACTTCAAGCTTGGCTTGATTCGTTCTTTGTCTCCTTCCAATTGTTACTTTAGCAAGAGACAAACGTGAATTAAACTACGATCAAAGTTATGCGACGTTTGGTGAAACTTGGGCCTTAATTGGCTCGATTTCACCAACGTCGCATAACTTTAATCTTAGCTTGATTCATTCTTTGTCCCTTTCTAAGGCGACAGAACGAGATGAAGAATGAATTAAGCTTGTAAGCTGAAAATTAAACGGCATCGTGAAACCGGGCCTGAACACGCGTAGTCGTCCGAATATTTTGAAAGACCGGCTCGATTCTCGAATTCATTCGAAGGAGAAACGTATGCGAAAATTCTGCTCCCGCGGAAAAGTTGAGGGTCGATTGGTCAAAAATCACGCGAACAGCCAATCAGCTTGCGACGTTTCTGTAAGAGCAGAATTTTCGCATGCGTTTCTCCCTCGAGTGAATTCGAGAATCGAGCCCCAGGACTCTTGTGCTCATCGGTTTAAAAGCTGATCTACAATGTGTTCTTCGCTAGTCTGTAGCCAATAAATACGTTCAAACAATGTGTCCAAGTTGATAGATTGTACATTGTACAATCGTGAATTGTCGACAAACGTTTCAAGCGTTTCCATTTGATTATGTAAAGTAGAATGTTTCTAGACGCGGGAGAGCACATTGTATAATAGATTAGATTTGACGAATTGCGGGATGCCGTGAAGAAAACAGCCTTGTGTCCACGATTCAAGAACTGTGTCCGGGTTCCAGTTTCGAGAAATGCGCAGCCAATCAGCATGCAGCTTTTATGGAATAGCTGCAAGCTGATTGGCTACGCATTTCTCGAAACTAGAACTTGAATCAAGTTCTAGCATCGTGGACACAGGCCTTTAGAAAGACGAAACTTTCCGATCCACGTGTAACGAGAGCGTTTCGCCCGAAGGATCGATTATAATCGACAATTATCGTTAGGGATACGTCTTCCTCGGAAAACTCGGCCGGCGAAAGGGACGCATCTTTGCATTTCTTTCGCGCGCGCGCGTTACTTTCACGCATTCCTGGGTGGCGCGTTTGAACGCGCCGGTTTAAGGAAAACGATCGTCGTTTCCTCGCCGCAACTTCGTTTCCACTCGGTCTCGCGGAAAGAACGTCGCTCGGCCCAGATTTCTTTCTCGCGGTCAGCGTTCCATACGACTGAAAGATAAATTAACATGTATATTAATCTTAAAAGGAGAAAGAGAACGACTTTGAGAAAGAAGCCTCCCTAAATTGCAGGCGGCCGTCATGAAATTAAAAAGGATTCGCTGTTTAAAAGTCTCCACGAATCGGCGCGATCTGTTCGAACCCAAGAAAATGACAATTCGAAGGAATAAAGGATGCAAGAGCCAATTGTGATTTCACGCCAGAGTCTTATGAATTTAAAAAAAATTAACTCGAAAGGATTCCGTGGAACTAAATTAGAGGCGACTTTCGTGAAATAACGTTGGACTGTTTATTGCGATGAATATTACCACGTGCCTCGGTGGTCGAATTGGTGAGACGCCCGTCTAGAGAGGGGGAGGTCCAGGTTCAAACCCTGGCTGGGGTAAATTTCTCGCGAGAAATTTAACAATTAAAATCATTTAGACACTAACATCCGGCTCTTGTATCCTCTGTTACTTCGTGTCTGTAAATTAAAGGTGTTCCGAATATAAAGAATTTCTCTCTTATCCGAGAATTTATAGCTCCAGAATTGGTGACATGAAAAGTGAATTCTTTTTAATTCCCAGGAACGACTTTAGAACAGAACTGGGGTGGGAAGGGGACTCGATAATTAGAAGAGAATTCTTTTTCGATCCTCCGTGCAATCTGGGTCGGCTTTTCCCGTGATTCAGATCAATTAAAAGGGATATGAAGTCACGCGGCGAGGACACAATGGAAAAAAATAAGCGCAATTAAGGAAGTGTGTGCGTTAACTTATCTACTTTATTATCACCGAGACGAAAATACACTCGCGCTCGACGTGCGTATATGACGATACGTTTCCTCGACACGCCATTATTGGGTCATTTCCTTTTCTCCATTTTTTTTATTATCAATTGTACACGCATCCTGTCTCTCTGTACGAGGGATATCAATTTCTACATATGTATCAGTAGCTCGTTATTAGTATCCTGTCAACGATTTCCTCGTTTTGCAGAACGGGCTGGAGGAATGTTGCAAGGCCGTGGCGAAACGGCAGATCGACGGCGATGAGTTGCTGGTGGGCGAATTATCGTATTGCTACGAGGAGAGCAGCCGTTTCGAACAATTTTCCAATTTTCGTCTCGTCCCGCCCCTGTTCCAGTCGGCGACCCCCCAAGTCGCACGAATGCCGCCTTGAAAAACGCAGCGTCCCGATGATAAAATCTCGCGTTAACTGTGATTTAATCGGCCAACTGAGAAGTATCGCTTCCAGCAGACGTTGGCGATTGAAATTACATGAAAATTACAAAATCCCGAGATCGGACACATTGGACGAATCTCTCTTTCTCTCGCTGTTTCTCTCTCCGACCTTACGGATGTGTATTCAATTAACATTTTAGACTGTAGTTGAAACAGCAATATAAAATAATAGCTTATTAACAATTGAAGCTTTGCAAATAATGTCAGAAGATTGTACAGAATGTCGCGGACTTGTTGTATTATTTTCATATAAACGTCAGGATTGATTACGTTTTTTTTTAACAAGGATTCAGGATTAATATCTTGGTTAATAAGAGAAAATTTCCGGATTGGCTACGCGCGCTTATCTCGGGTCTCTTATTTTTTCACGCGTGCTTCACGAAATTTATTAACGCGAACGCGCACGACGATGCTCGACGCAGAGGGGATCCAGTTTGCATCGATTTAATCCGCCTGAAAAGTGTCCCCTCGTCGACTTATGTCTATTTCTATCAATGCAGATTTACTTTGGTCTCGGCTCAAGTTACTTTTAACTTTTTCTGGTTTCTGGAATTGGAAAGAGACAAAACCTTAGTTAAACCGAAATTAAAATTAATCCGCATTGGCAGAAGTGGGCACTAATGAATCCCCGAAGTCGCTGACTCGATGGTAACTGGAGAAACACGCGTGCCGCGCGAGCGATTATCTGCCCACATCCACCGATAACGCGGACGCGCTTTTTTTTTCCGGTTGCAACAGCAATATATTTCGAGACGGCTGGTGACGGCGCGCGCGCTCGCGCGCTCTTAACGGGGCCTTAATTAATTGTAATTATTCCAGCACTTGACGGATGGGAAGCTGGCGCTCTGGAAGAGTGACCTCACGCGTCCATTGATAGGGTGAGAGACCGAGCCACAAATCCAGCTTTATTTCTGCCCGAGTCGCGCTATTCCCTCCGCTACTTTTCCCTTCTTCGCGGAATCGTGTCTCGCGATCTCCTCTCATAACGCGCTCCCTCTTAACGGTATCGGATTATTCAGTATGCGAACAGCTCATCGTGTTCACATACCGTTTACAAGCGTTTACGTGTCTAAAGCCTTCTGCCCGCGATCCAAGAACTGTGTCCAAGTTCTAGCTCCGATGAATGTGTGGCCAATCAACTTGCATTTTTTTACGAAAAGCTGCAAGTTGATTGGCTGCACGTTCATCGGAGCTAGAACCTGGGCACAGTTCTTGGGACGTGGACACAAGGCTTAAGAAATGCGGGCGTAAAGCCGACAATCCGACTAGGTATCGCTTTAACTAGAAGAAAATGCCGCGTAACATTTGATGATTTTGATACATGAAGTTAACGTCGCCTCGTTTTCAGATTATTTTTTTTTAATAGGAGCTATCTTTCTGAAATAAGTTTGTGGCGACAAGAAATTGCTGACTTGTACGACGCGGCAAGAATGCGCTACGTGGCTACGTCTTTATGAAGACGCCGTCGCGTGCCATTCGCAAAGATGTGTTTCGCGCGACTGGACAATTATTTGATGACTGCAAGTCTTGCATAAATGCATAATTCTGTCGCGTGGGTCGTGTTCGATCGTTCCACTCCACATTCGCGTTGATTTAGCGTTTTGCTCTACCGCCCGTTCCTTATTGCTCAACGGAATTCTCTAGTCGCGCTGAAGATTAACGTATATAACTGTACCGCAAGGTATCAGGCAAATGTTCTCTTTCGTTAAATTGATGAATTTATGGAATTCATTGCAGAAAACTATGGGCATTTGTGCAAGAGCTGAACAAGTCTCCAGAAAAATATCTGCCGGACAGGAGTGGAGAAGCGCAACAGAACGATGATCACTTGAGCGACAGCGGCTCCTGGGGGACCGACTTCGAGGATGAGGCGGCCGAGGAGAACAACTCCACCGATGAGATCATAAAACCAAGTCAGATCAAGAACAAGCAGATGTCTCTGCAGAATAATAGGATGATCAGCAGAATACCGACGCGACCACCGTCGAAGAAAGTGATAAAACCGGAGGAGGAGGAGACTTACGCCAATTGCAACTCTGCCCCGGGCGAGGAGGAGAACATGTATGCGAATTTTCAGGAGACGAAGCCACCGCCGACGAGAAACGTCTCGAGGCTGCACGGGAAGGCCGAATTGGAGAAGACTCTGGCCGGGAAGCTGAAATTGGAGTTGGAGGAGTTGAAGCGGAGGAATGATCCGACGAAGAAACCTGAGATCAGGCCAAAGCCGGAGAGTCTGCCGTTGAGGAGAATCCCGATGACTGCCGCCGATAAGAAATCACCGCAGAGATCTTTCCTGCACAACGCGCCGAAGACGGACGAACGCGGTTCTAATGAACAAGGCAAAACGCAGAGTCAGTTCCTGTTAATATGTCATGTTTATGTGCAGATTCGTCATGGTTATATGGATTTTCATTCTTTTCTGGATAATAATGCGATGTTAATAAATAATGCATCTGTTGCTTGGCTTTCCAGGAAGGATGAATGTGCCACCGCCACCGGAACCTAAGAAAAGCAAAGACTACACGTCCGTGGAGATCAAGAAAGACACCGATAAGGAGTCATCGAAACCACCGGTCATCTTGAGAAATTTTGATCTTGTGGCGAATTTGCCGGCGCAAACCCAGGAGAGCGAGGACGAGTACGAGCCGCTCAACGAGAGCATCGTCGAGCAGGTGCAGCAGAAGAACGAGATCTCGCGGGTCGATAGCAAGCAGTCGTTGCACAGCGGCCGCCAAGGCTCGGTCGAAAGTGTTTACAAGCCACCCAGCGTCGCGAGCCACGAGGAAGAGGAGGATTACGAGATTTACGAGTCTATCACAGAAACGGTGGGTCTTCAACAGTCAATTCGGAATTGCGTTTACGAGACTCGATGAATTATTTATTATCGCGTTGCATTAGCCGGAGGATAATGAATACCTGAGCCCCATTCAAAGGACCAGCGATGCGCAAGAGCCGCCTCCCTTACCCGCCAAACCATCGCCGCCCCCACCGCCTTCGACTTTTCCCGGTAGAACCAGGTCGGAGAAACACAAAGGTAGGTCTGTTTCTCAGCATTATGAAGAGACAAGCAATTGAAAAGTATTACATGGCTACATAGAAAATATTGTGAGGCTAAAATCCCTCCAGTGAATGCAAAATTTTGTAGATTAATTATATTTTTGGCTTAGCGGCGATGATATTTAACAAAGCGTTACAAATGATAATTGTTTTTCTTTTTCTAAACAGTTTAATTTATTCTTTCTTAAAGATATAAATCCAAAAAATACTTGAGGAAACCTTAAAGATTGAAGATTTTCGTTTGTCGCTACTCAATGTCATGTTCAATTCATCCGAAGAGCGATAGGTACAAAATATTTACACAAATTCGGTAGTGGAATGTTAAACGAAGTGACGAGATGTCGCGAACCGTCGTAGTGAATGGGAAGAAAAGAATAGCAAGATACCAAGTAGATAGCAAGTACCGTAGACTCGAGACGAATGCAAGATCGCTCGTAAGAACTTCTGAGCATATGTTCGACAAATGCTGCTTATCGTCGTTTCTCATGCAACCTGATGCGCATTGCCATCGCGATATTGCGGATCGCAGACAGTCGCGTATCGGCCATCATCAAGACCGGATTTGTACAAACGTTCCTCTCTTTGCGATATGCAGAATAGCGTTTTGCCGCCATCATGTCAACGACGTCGCCTCAATTATTCACAACCTGCTGTATTTTTCGTACACTGAAGTGAAGACCTTTCAACCTTCAGCATGAATAAAAGATCTCAGGCGTCGGGCGGGCTCGGCGAGATACCTCACCGTGGGTTTTCGACTCGAGTGTGAGACGACGGTGCGAAACGTCGAGTCAATTTTGTCAGTGGCTGAGAAAGAGATTGCGTCTCGTTTCCGATTGATCTAACGACATACGTGTACAATATATGTATCGAAACTTTCCGAGGAAGAAAGGCAGCGATAAGTTCCGGCAGAGGTAGAAACGTTACATCGAATACCAGTTCTGATCGCGACACGTATAAGTCGTGTCCATCGAGAGCTGCGAAGGGTTCGATAAGAGTCCGAGAGCGCGAAACACCGGGTGATGGAATGTGTTCCTGTTTTTATCTGCGGCTGAGCAAACATCTCCTAGAAGGTCTGGGCACGCGCCTGGCCGATGAGGTCGCCGATATGATAGTGCGGATCAAGAGGGGCCTGTCTACGTGTTGTTATTCGCAACCACCTGAGCCGCCAGGTATACAGAGCGATTAAACAACGCATTGTTCGACGACTTATCTGCATCTGCACCGATACCGGTGTCCGTGCGATCGTGGCACAGTGTGAGAACCTTGCGCTAATGGAACATCTGTTCTCTCTTCGCTCGCCGAAGGTCGTCGAACTCCGACCGGCTGACGGAAATAGATTTCGAAAAATTGATTCGCTCGCCGCCAATTTTCGATAAAATGTCCGATTAATCTTTGCAGCTTGATTTGTAATTAATACAATTTATGTTTGCATGAAGATAAGATTATCCAAAGTATCATCGCGATCGCGACAGGTAAATTGACGTTAAAATTCATCATTCGCTCGAATATATCCTGTCCAGTCTGCTGGAGCTGAAAAGTTTCTCGGCTAAGAATAACAATAGTACGTGATCTTGTTTATTTCAACGGTCGGAATTCATTATTGATAATTGTCACTCGTTTGCCTCTTACAAAGATAAATTTGCAGATGAATACAGTCGCACTGCCTTAACGCTTTGCACTCCGAATTATATTTCATCTATTGGTTTGGACTTGAAGAAATGTCGAGTGGGACTCGACAAAGGAGCTCCTGAGATAAAAACTGATGTCGAGTCATACTTGACGTAGGAGCGCAAAGGGTTAAGAAAGAGCACGGAGCTACGGAAAATTCCATTCTTCCTCTTCCCGCGAGGAAGACCACCTTCGTCGGGTCTTCTTTGTTTCTCGCGACCACTGCGTAGGGATCGTTGCCTCTCCCGATCTGATTTACGGAAGATATTCTTAAACGCGCTTCGGATGTGTCTATGTCCCATGCCGAGAGACCAACGGAGATTGACCACCGCTCCTTCCCTTTTCGCGATGCTTTAAAAGGGTCGCTCCCGAGTTAAATGTCAGTTCCATCGCGGTTCTTGCGATCGTCGTGTCGGACGTGTTCCTCAAACCGGTGGATCTCCAACAGATGCGTCTCCGGACGCACGATAGAAAAGTCAGCGGCAATATACTGATAGTCGCCTAAACGTACTCGTGATCCGCCGAGGTGCGCGTGACGAATTCGCGACACAATGGCTACTATAATCGGCGATACAAAGCGGAATGTATCGCTCAATACGGCGTTACGCCGGCAAACAAGTCTTTCGGAGTGTTTGACACAGGCGACTCTTACGCAAGCCCGGCTTAACTTAGCAAGTTAGTAATGTGGTCGATTTTGTATTTTAATGAGAGACAGTTGTGCAACGGTGTATATCTTGCAGCATAATATCGTTCTTATGTTTGTAAATTGAGATTCTAATCAAATTGTAATAATCGTCAAAGTACTCTTTCCCACAAGTTTATAATATTATTATGTGCGCATTTTATGCCGATTATTTGGAGCTGCGTATTTCTTGTACGGATGTAAAAACTTATTACACATTGGTACATGTATTATGGAAATGCGTGGCAATCATTGTATCAATTTACGTTCTCCGGTATGTTGATCTTGAGCCTTTTACACGTTTGCAGAGCGGTCACCGGATAAGAAATCAGCCACATTACCTCACGCTGGCAGTAATACCTCGCTGTCAACCGAGAGAGCCACGCGGCCGTTACCACCGCCACCCGAGAGGCAATCTTACGTGGACAAGCCCTGGTATCATAATATCACGAGGGAACAAGCAATGATTCTTATCAGAGAACGTACGTGTCAATCCTTTAGATCGCTTTGAATAGTCTTTAAAGTTTGCAAAGTGAAAGGCGGCTGAATTTTTCTAAAGAACCATCAAAATTGAGATCGCGGGTTAAATATATGTTTAGAATAATACATGGGCACCTGAGGATTTTATCTATTATATTTTTTATTGTAAAACATTTTTTTTACTTAACATGTAAAATTTGTACGTCGATACAGTGTAGTGATTGACTTGTATATTTTCAGAAGGTACTTACAGTAATCAGCAAGACGGATACTTTCTTTTGAGACCGTCGACGACAAATCCCGGCAATCCCCTAGCCTTGGTTCTTTGGTACAGGGACAGGGTTTACAATGTTCCGGTCAGGAGGAGGAACGATAATAGGTATATGCTTCGTTTATTAACTTTGCTTTATTCAAATGCCTTTCGTCGTATACTCAACATCGCAATTTAATCTGAGATGTTACGAGATGTTAACATCGCAGGAATGTGATAAATGATTGGACCAAATTTTAGGACCAACATTTTATACATAAGATGGGAAAATATTAATACCCTACTTTATTTTGTTTAACAAAGACGAAGGTTTATGCAGTACGCGCGAAGATAATTTTGTGTTAACTATTACAGATACGATTTTGTATAGAAGAATATTTCTGAAAATTGCTTCTAGATACGCGCTGGGCTCCGCGAAAGTGAACGAACTGTCCTTCTCGTCGGTGGAAGAGATCGTGGCGTTTTACATGACGGAAGAACTGATGCTTTACAGCGGCGGCGCACCGACCGGAAGTACGAAATTGACTGATACTCCACCAAAGTGATTTTAGTCCGCTACGTCCGATCCCACTTCAGGCGGGAAGGAAGGATCTTCGTTGTTAATCTAGCTGTACATAAGAGCTGTGTGCGACATATATGAACACTGCCGAGTTAAACATGCTTGCTGCACAATGCGACGGTATAAAAAAAAACATGATCAGGCTGACGAACAAGGATTTCAGCGGTGCCTTTTTATACTTGAAACAGTCGCGTGAATTAATCAATTGCGTAATCGTGTCGCGCGAGACGTATTATTTAATTTAGCGTTATTCCAACGGCAAGTTCCGATTCGAATTGTTTGTCTAATTGTAAGATTTATCTCGACAATTATGCGTGCCTTCGATAAAATGACGTAAGCGAGCTCGATTATTGAGCAACGGATCTCTATTGCGGTAAATATACATATGCATATTTTTAATATACAGTCTCTTTTACGAGTTGGATATGTATTTATGGCCGATATGCGTCCGAGAGAGTAGACATAAATTTTGTGCGCTCTTCATCGGGCATCGTCGGGAAAATAATATTTTATCGTAACTTTTTTTTAGCAGTATTGTTACATTTTTACCCGCGCGTCGGTCGTTCGTTTGATCTGTGACCATCGATTGATCACACGTGTGTGCACCGGCCGTGTCTCGGCTTTCGAGGGACCGATGACGTGTACGAGGACTTGTATTAAAACTTTTTTTAAGAAACTGTGCAGAGGCTTCTCTATGCCGTGCGCGGGACGAGCGCTCGCTCATCCATGAATGAAAACGGCGCAGTATTACCTATCGCTTTCTCCCGCGACTGTTTACGTTCCTCTCCTGTCTCTCGTTTCTCTCCCTCGGCCCCGTTTAATCGCGGCTACGCGCGATCCAATTTTGTAAACGTGAATCATCTCGGGGTCGCGCGCTCACACACCGCTCTGTATCTCGCTCGCCAACGGGAATGCGAACGATAACGATAACGAGCTCGGACCGAGCCGCCGGACGTATATTGATAATGTACGATTCCGAAAGTCGCGGCCGTCGGTCGTACGGTCAGTAGTGGAGTTCCATCGGCGGGCGAATTCGATTCCTTGTTCGTCGCGAGGAAACGCCGGCGGCCGAACGTTGCAGACGCGTGTGAATGTTATCTCTCGCTCGTACGACGATTGTGTCCGTGAACTTTGAGCCGAGCTAATTGATAGAAGTAGAGAATCACGAGTTCGTCGCGTTAGCTCGGCTGTCATCAGCCGATATCTAGCGAGATTACTCGAGGACTCGCTGAACGATTACGATAGATAAGTCGGAAGGTATATATATATTTTTTTTTACTGAATGTTTCATACAACGTAATAATAGACGACATTCGTACGCTGCTAGAATTCGTGACATTCGTACGCCAAATGTTATCAGTCGGTAATCTTTCCTCGATAATAACTTCGGGGCGGGTTGTCGATATTTTATCTGTTTACTTGCTGCGCACAGGATCCTTCGCAAGCGTAACTCTAATTACGAAGTCATTTATACTTAAGAAGTCCCCAACATATAGTTGGGATGATTGTTTCCAAGTAAACATTTGTAAAGTGTCATCCCTGAAAAATCTAGCCGGGAGCTAGTAGTTGAGGAGCGCGAGTCTAATTACATCGTTTCTCGAGTTTTCCCGTCTCGAGGCTATTCTTCCCAGGGGCTCGATCGTGAATCTTTTCCTCTAGCGTGAATTCGCGGAAAGTAGAAAGTTTCATTGAAGAATTGCACTACTCGTCAATGAAATTTTTCGCCTCTCACGAATTCACGCTAGAGGAAGAGATTCACGATCGACCTCCGGGGAAGAATAGTTTCGAGATTCTCCGAGGATTCCCCTTTTCCCTCCT